TCTTCGGCTTTTCCTGAAATCAGAGCCCTGGCAGCCAAGTCTCAATAAAACACTGTGTTTCCAGGTGCTGGGGCCAGTCTTGAGGCCCCTGGTCACTGGGGTTCACAGGCACTTTCCTACTACCTCTCCACCTTGGTGGCGAGCAGCTCCTCTCTGCTGCAGGCCGAGCGCCCCGTCCCCTTCAGATGCCTGATGGACCCCTGGGCCTGCAGCCAGGCTCCCCAGAGCAGGGCCTGCTGTGCCGCTGGCCAGCCCTCCGGCCCTCCTTGCTCTTCTACGGGAGCCCACTTTACCCAGCACTGGAACCTGCCACATTCTGACCTAACAAATCTCGCCGGACCTTTTCCTTAGAGGCGCCGTAGAGCGTATGTTTGTTGTCAATATGATTTTATTTACTTTGCAGTGGAATCCATGAGAGCCAGAAGCACAGTGGGGGCCGTGGCCCCTGGGGTCTGGGTGGTCAGTCCCGAGCCTGGGGCATGGCCTGACCAGTGGGCGATTGTATTTAAAAAAGAAAACAAAATGAAATACACAGAACGAATGCTAGCCACGGACATCAGTAATCTCTTGGTAATTTCATTAAACTTTCCCTTAAACAACAGAAACCCTGCCCTCTGACTAACACAAGGTGCTGGAGAGAAGATGACCAAGTGACTTGATCTCTGAACTTGAAATGTACTTTCCTACCTAGAAATTCAGCACAATGTGTTTAACGGCCAGATGCCTGCAGGCTGTCTGCATGCCCGCCCTGCCCCCAAGAGGCCCAGGGACACCCCTCTCCAGTCTCTACAGCCTGACCCAGGAGGCCACAGCCCCCTGCTTGAGTGGGTTCCACAGCCGTGGGGGTCCGAGGCCTGGACCTCATCCCTGATGCAGAGCTGGGCACATGGCACACAGACACACCTCTCGGGGTCACCAAGGTCATGGCTTATGGTCGGTTATCCTCATGGCAGGAGTGGGGTGGCATGGGGTGAATTTCACAGAAGAGGCACAGAGAGGTCCCCCTTAGTCGGGGACATGCAGCAAAGTGGACGTGTAGAAGGGAGCGGGTTTGCTGACTCTCAAAGCAGGGCGAGCTCTCGGGTTGGGAGCATGCCGCCTTTCCGCCAAGGCTGCAAGGCCAAGGTCAGTGGTCTCTTCCCTGAGTGGCAGGTGAAGCCCCCGGGGCTGGTAAAGCATCTTCATGACAGCTTCACCTGGAGAGTCCCCACGGCAGTCCTGTGAGGTGGGCTGGGAGGGCAGCGCCGTTCATTCTACAGATGAGGGAACCGAGGCTCAGAGTGCAGGAAGGTCACGCACCTGGGAAGGGTCAGAGGCAGGACAAGAACCAGGTTCCTGACCCCTAGGTAAGCGTCTTCCTTCCACGCAGCACTGCGCAACCTCTGTAGGGGAGCCCTGTTCTTAGGCTTCACAGCTTTGGGGGCAGTTCCCTCTGAGCCAAGGACGGGCAGGGAAAGAATGCTTTCACTTCAGGACGGCCTTGCAGCCTGGCTTAGAAACCCAGGGCTAATCAGATCCTGGGCCATCTGGTTCCCCAGGGTCTCCAGAGGAAGCGCCTGGCCTCAGGCCAGACCCGCAGGCTCCTTCCCTTTGCTATGGGTTTGCGGCACAGCTTGCAGGCTGCACCTCCGCTCGTGTGTGGGGTTTCCCAGGGAAACTCCTCCTCCTTCCTCTGAGGCGGGGCGGCCTCTGGGGGCCTCTGCTGGGCAAACAAATTGGAAGAGGCTTCCTTCTCTCGGCCGGGTGAACCCAGGCGCTCCTGCCACCCTCCAGCCTCCCCGCATGGCGGAGGGGAGGCCAAACAGAGGATGGAGGCTTCCGCAGGTGCAGGGCACAGCCATGAGCAGATTCCCACCACCCTGGGGGCTGCCCTCCTCCCAGCTATTTCTACCGAACAAGAAGCAGACAAGAGAGCTCAGAGGGACCTCACAAAAAACTGAGGGGAGAGCCACAGAGGTCCCCCACTGTGGTCCACAGATTTTGCCCCATTTCCTACCCATCAAAGGTCAGAGCTGGGTGACCTTTGCCAGCCACTGCCCTCATTTCAGGACCAGCATCTTCATCCTGTCCAGCTGTCTGCCCCCAGCAGCAGGATTTTACAGAAAACTCAAAGGTCCTGGATTCAAAGCTCTCTGTCCTGCCTGACACTCAGCTGATCAGGACAACACAGCGCTGCCTGCTGATGGCATTCAGACCAAGGCCGCCAATGGAACTGCCCTCTGGACTGCAGACCCTCCTCCTCTGCAGAGATGGGCTGAGGACCCCTCCCAGCCTGCCTATCCCCACCCCTCTAATTGGCTCAAGAACTCCAATTCCCTTGACTTGTGAGTTCCAAGTCCCCCCTGCTGGGACTTAAGTCAGAACCTTCTGGAATAGCACACTGTTCCCCTCTGCACTTAACCAGATCCTGACCCCACTATATGCCCACCTTCCCCACACCCAGCTTCATCCTGCCATCATCCACCTTCCCTGAGAGGGTGAAGCCCCACTGGGCTGGTAAGTCCCTGCCCCACTGCCCTCACTGTGCCAGCACATGCGCATCAAAGGTGCCCGCTCTTCCCAGAGGCCCCGACGACATCATGTAACGTCAGCACAGACATTAGTGGTAGGGAAACTTTTAAGTATGCATGCACACGCACCCCAGCCAATAACATTAAGTGTCATTTAGAAAAAATGGGTTAAATAAGCAGTATCGCCGAGGATGGCCGTGCTGGGCTGATTATCCTGTATTTGCACGTTCTGGCGGTGGGAAGGCTAAAAGTCTAATGACTGAATTATCACCCTAATGCCTTTTGCTGGCTGGGAATAATCCTGAGGCAACAGCTGCCGCAGGGTTTTTGGCTGGTTTCCTCTAATTGCATCCAGATTAAGGGAGCCGTGCAGGGGCGGGCCTTCTCCATCCCTCCGGAGCAGCGGGACCTCGCAGAGCCCACACACCCAGGTCTTCAGCTTTCGAGGTCCTGGCTGCTCCAGGAGGCCCAGATCTCACTGGGACCTCACCCAGCCCATAGGGTGAGAGGTGGGAGGGTCCTGGGGAGCCGTGGGGGTGAGGGGCTGTGGGAGCTGGGAGCTTCAGAATGAGCACTTTCCACCCAGGACCCTCCAAAGTGAGGGAGCCTGGGACCCCTCTCCCTCCACCCCGCACACAGCAACCCAAAGGCACAAGGTATTGTAAAATGCACGGACGTTCTTCTGCTACGGAGGATGAGGGGGGAGCACCCTTTCTCCTCTTAGGCATCTCCTGCCCCTTCAGGGGAAGTCACGCCCCTGGTAGAAGGTGAGCTCCAAAACAGTGTTATCTGGACCAGGACTTTGTTGTGGTGCTGGTAGACTCTTCCAGCCCCGTACCAGCCGCCCAGTTCCTCACCCCTCCCTGAATCCCAGTCCCTCGCCATGTCACTTCTCTTACTGCAGGGGAGGGTCCATTTCCCCATCCCTAGATGCTGAGTCTGGCCATGTGACTTGCTTTGGCCACTGAGGTGGCAGCACGGGGGGCATCTGTCAAGGCTTGGGAAGGTGCCTGTACACTTCTGATTCTGCACCTTCGCCTTGGCCAGGACTGGCTTGCGGGAAGGATGCAAGAAGCACAGAGCAGAGCCAAGTCTGACCTCTACACACCTCGGCATGTGTGAGCACACCCCTGGGACTTAACAGCTCCAGGCATGGGAGCAAGCCCAACCCAGACCAGAAATGCCCAGCTTGAGCTGCTGCCCCACAGACTCATGTGCTAGGTAAAAGTGTGTGCTAGTTGAGGCCACCATGTTTGGGGGCTATTTGTTATGTAGCATTACTGTGGCAATGGGTAACTGTTACGCCTGTTCATGGGGATGTGGTCTCTAGAGGAGGGTCAACATAGTGCCTGGGTAACTCAAGCCATTTCCATAATGGATCAGGAGCCATCCTCCAGATGGAAAGGCAATCTTCTTTCCCCAGAAGCAGAGCACAAGTCTACCCCCATCCAGCCTGGATCCTGCTGCTGGACTGTAATGGTCAGTACCCTAAGATCTGGGCACTGATGGGGCTCCAGGATGGTCTCTCCGAAAGACTCTTGGGTAGAGGGGCCAGGAACTTGGAAGTACCAGTGTCAGTCTCCTGCCTGCTGGAGGACTTGGGCTCGTGGAGAAGAGAGAAGCTGAGAAGGGAGGAGGCTGATAACTCCTCTTTCCTGTTGATAAACATCTTTTTAAAGTGGCGCCATCCAGCAGCGTCAGGTCCCAGTGGGAAAAGCTGAGGGGCAGGAAGAAGCCTTAGTCGGGCTGCGTCTCCGCGATGACTCTCAGCACTTCAGGAATCTTTCTCCCCAGAAGAATGTGCAGGAGGATTCAAGGAACGATTCCAGCCTCCTTGCTCCTGCCAGTTCAAGAGGTGGCTTCCTGTGCAAATGGCTCCACCACTTTACACTGGCTGGGAGCCCTCCCATGCCCTTATCTGTCCTTCTCTAAATCCCAGAAGGAGCAACTGATGAGAATCTTTGGGAGCAGGGAGAGCTTGCTGGGAAGACCTGGTTCCCACACAGAAAGCAGAGGTGCCCTGAGTGATGGCTACCGTACTGTGGCCACTCTTGCGTCCAACCACCTGAGAAGCTGACTTACAGAAGACTGGCATTCATGGCAGAATGCAGGCCCTGCAGGGAAGTGGGAGTCTTTCTAGCACTTTCAGGTGCCTTTGTCTTGGTTGGTCAGTTAATATAGTCCCCCTTCCCTCAAACACTGCAGATTCCCTTCAGATGATTTTGCATGCACACACACACACCTCAACCCATCCAGACCCCAGTTGGTTGCAGTATTTGGTGAGGTTGGCCTTAAACAATGCCAAATGCAGACATTCCCCAACAAAGGGAGAGGAATCCAACATTTCAACAGCCTGTGCTCAGGCAGCAGATTCCTTCACATACCAAGAGGACAGGATGTTGAAATGGACAGTGTGAAAGCCCCCAGTCCGCTGCTCTTACACCTCTTTACCCTGAAATCAGTGGGGCTTTTTTTGGCGGGGGGATGGGGGGCAGATGTCTTCACATCAGCTTTGCAGCTGTGGCTGGAGAAGCTGTGGAGTATGTTTGGTTCTTTCAGAGAATGAAGCCTGATGAGGCGGGTGTGTCCGGCTTGCAAAGATGTCTCTGGGCCTGGACAGGACCCCCTTGTTCTGCACTCCCCGGCACTGGTGGGTGCACAAGACCTCTCCTTCTGTCTCTGCCTTTCCCAGTGCCTGGCAATACCCTTCGGTGGCTGATGAAGCTGGAGGAATTCCTGGGACGTGTGGAGAGCCATCAAAGGCAGGCAACACGAGAACCCAGCCAGCCTGCGTGTCCAGGTGGGATGGCTGTGCATTTTGGTCCCGCTTTTTTGGGAGGTGACTTTTCTCTGGGCAGCTGGCGGGTTCCACTTCTGTCACTTCTGGACTCCGCTTTTGTCCTTAATATGAAAAGTTTCCCTTCATGCCGCCCAAGGGCATTTTCCTTCTGTTTCTACCATCCCATCCCCTCCAAGCCCAGCCCCACCCCCTCCCCCATGCTTGGGACCTGGCTGAGGTTCCCTCACCCCTCGTCTAGCACAGGGAGCCCAACCTATCTGCGGAAACCGAAGCCTTCCCGGGGCGTCTTTGGGCCCTTCCTGCCTTCTCTGGGGGGCTTGGGCGAAGGCGTCTCCACAGTGCCCCCATATGGGCAGCTCTCAGACCCCGGGTGCTGGCCTGTGCACTCCACGGCGGGCATGTAACCACTGTCCCACATGCCAGTCCCACACAGCTTGCACAGGTCATGCAGGCTGCAGGGGATCCGCGGCAGGAGGCGAAACTGATAGAGCAAACTCCTTGCCTGCAAACAGAGAGGACAGGCAGTGACGAGGGCGTTGGGGGACAGCCAGTGGCCCGAGAGCAGGGGCAGCAATAGCCAGCGCCCAAGGGCTCACCCTGTGCCAGGTCAGGGCGAGGGCTCTGCCTGCCCCGTCCCTTTCAACACCGTGATCCAGCTGAGGGACGGGACTCACATGGTACCCGGAGCAGTGCTCCCATGTGGCTTGACACAAAGAAGGCTCCCCCGACGGCCTTCATATGGAGGGTGAACAGGGCAGGCAAAAGCGGCACAGGGCCCACCCTGTCCCTCCCTGGCTCAGCCTGGCCCCACGGCTCCACCTCTCCGCCCTGCAGGGTCTGTTTCCACCACCCTCTTCCTACCCACCGCACCCTGACCCCAGGCCCTCCTCACTGCCCCCGGGAGACACCAGAGAGCTTTAAGAAGCAGACTCCAGCAGGAGCCTGGGAAGTGGGGAGGTGGCAAAGGCGCCCTTTGTTCCACTAACTTCGGATGAAAAGTGTCCACCTCCCCTCCCTAAGCCTCCTGCTCAGTTTTCCTGGCTCTGGGCTAGGACTGAGGTACCGCAGGTGGAGGACCTGTCCATCAAACCAGGTAATCTGTTCAGTCCATGAGGAGAGAGGCCTCTTTGCCAGGGCCTGATGGGCACCCTGAGCAGCTGCCAGACATGCTGACCACTGGGCCTTGGTCAGGAGCTCCCAGGGTGGCTGGAGTGTGTGGGCGGGGCTCTGGAAGTGAAGGGGCGGGGCTCTGTGTGTGGAGGGCAGGGCTTGTGGGGGCTGTGTGTGGGCAGAGCTCTGGAAGTGAAGGGGTGGGGCTCTGTATATGGGAGGGCGGGCCTGCATGCAGGGGCCACACTCACCTTCCTGAGAACAAGCTCCCCATTCATGTGCATGGCCAGGTTTCCGAAGTGCAGAAGCATCTGGTCGGTGGCCAGCTGCTGCTCAATGACGTCATCCCCGTAGATGGCCACGATGGCCACACAGATGAAAAGGTGGAAGTAATCCGTCTGGGGGGATAGAGATTGGGTTCAGATAAGGCCCCTGACCCAGCCCCAGGGCCTGCCTGCAGGTAGAGGCCAAGTGCAGAGGTGCGGGGTAAGGGCTCGGGGTGAGGTCGTCTGGGTTCATGTGGCCCTGGGCAAGCCCAGAAGCCTCCTTCATCCTCAGTTTCCCCACCTGCAATGGGCCAGTGTGAGCACCTCTATCCAAAGGCTGCTGTGACATACAAAGGGGCTGGCCACCCACGGGCTGCTGTTACCCTCCGGGGAGCCCTCTGGGAGGCTTTCCAGCACAGGGCAAAGAACATGCTCCTCTGAAGGCTGGCCCGTGCCCATTCTCTTGAGAGACAGTGCGTCAGAACATGCTCCAGTGGGTCACAGAACACGCCACTGAGAAAGAACTTTCTGGCACCCACCCACTGGTCGCTGTCCTCCTGCCTCCAGGCCAAACGTCCCAACTCGTGCCCCAGAGACGACTCTTAGGATTGTTGATAAGAAAGTGAGGAGAAGAGCCTCGGAGCAGAGCACGGCAGATCACGACGGTCCCCATGGAGCTCCCCAACGAGCCCACCATCTTTAACCAGCTTTACAGAGCCCATTGAGGACTCCGCTGTCTTCCTTGGAGGCTGCCTCATATGGCTGCCCAGCAAAGAAGGCCTGGCCCACAGCAGGAAGCCGGCACTTGGTCCTGGCTGGGGTACATCCTGTGCGCTCTCCGGCCCGGACACTTTGAGGGCACACCGCCTTTGAGTCACACTTGCTCTCGGGGGCAGAGGAAGGACAAGGACCACCAGGAAGCCTGTGTTTAGTCTCCTGACGTCGGCCACCCAGCCAGACAGAACTTTGTTCCTTTGCAAACAGGGCCAGGAGGAGCCCTGGATGCGGGCAGAAGTTATGGGCAGCAAACATCCCACACCCCACCCACTCTGAAGAGACCATTCTGGGTTGCCCAGCCCCTTCCTCTGAATTACTCCAGAATGGCCTTGATGTGGCTCAGAACGATCCTCCTGCAGCTATTCGAACTGTGGCCAGGGTTGGCGGAGGGCTGGGGGGAGGGGGGAGGACGGAGGAAGGTGCATGTCTACCTCCTCTCAGAGAGGACTCTGGGGCAGAAAAGGTGGGGCACATTCTAAATGGGGCTGGATGGCAGTACAGGACTAATCCCAGTTCACTGGACAAGGCCCAGGGCAGCGCAGCCCCTGAGGGCAAACTAGAAGTATCATAAATGAATGAAATAGAGCATTTCTCACTCTGGGGACACTTTAAAAGTTAAAGCAGCTGGTAGTGACCACCCCCCTCTCCACGAGCTCACTCTAATGAATTAGCCTACGCCCACTACAATCATCCTACCCCCCGCTTCCAATCTCCTGCCACTAATTTGATCAAGTGGTGGGGCCAAATGTGGCTAAATTTAGCCTGAGAAATGGCCCCATTTGTTGGGTAATGCTCTGAGTTCACTTGTAACATTAGCCTAAATGTGATGTCACGAGGGTGGCAAACTTGCTGCTGGAAAAACATGCAATGAGGCTTTGCAAAGTGGACACAATTTTTTTTTTTTAAAATGTGATCCAGTGTTTTGGACCATCCTTCCCAATGCTTCCTTGATTCCAGCCTGCAGTACACGTCGAGCACGCTAACCCACGCAGGAATCGCGGCCCAGACCTGGGCCCGGCTGGGGGCAGGAGCAGGAGGCGGGTGAGGATGGATGAACACAAAGACAGCCTGTGGCACCAGCACCACATTTGTTCACACTCACTTCTATCAGACATAACCCTTCTTTGACATTAGTAAGGAGGGGAAACGCTGATGCGCATTTCCGAGGGCTGGTGGGCGTGCCCACGTAACAGCGAGGTTTGTCTCATCCAAGCTGCTCCGGCTGCCGCAGGGAGGATGGAGCCCGCTCTTGCAGAAAGGGTCCTGGCCACCTCCCGGATGCGTCAATACTATTTTTTTTTAAGGCTGATGGATTCAGAGAGACTTGCCTATCCTTTCACGTCGCCAGCTTGTTGCTAATTTGGGCATTAAAGCTGTGTGACAGGGCCAGTTCGACGCTCTCAGGGGAATTTGTTGAGGAGACAATGATAACAGTGGATGGCAAGTGGAAATCACATCCCTGGGTGGGGACAGTGGGCCAGGCCCGGGCTCTCAGAGGGGCTGATGGGGAAGCAAGGTCTCGGGCCCTTTCCCTGAGCCGTCCCGAGGGGGCAGGCGGGCGGGCACTGGCTCCAGCTTGTGGGCACTGGCGTCCTGCTCGGCCCCGCAATGTCTTTCACGCTGATTGGTTGTGACAGGAGCGTGCTCAGCCCCAGAACGTGGTAATGAGTGCAGTCAGTGGGCAATTTGCATCGATTTCAGTTACTTGGGAGGCGAATTGCAGGTCTGAGGCTGGCCACGTGGGACTGGAAGGCAGTCGCCATGTGAGGGGCGGACTGTGGCTTGCGGGGGGTCAGGGATGGTGGAGGGGGACCCCAGAGGAGGCGCACGGTTACGTGGGCACCCCACCCTCCTTTTAGACTGGGTGCAGGACGGCTGTCCCAGCCCCCAGCCCTGGGCACCGCGCCTGACTCACCTGGTAGTGGGCCCAGCAGGCCTCCCAGATCCGCAGAGCCTCAGCCTCGGGAAACTCCCGCTTGAAGCACAGCAGCAGCCAGCGGTGGCAGAAGAGCATCTGCAGGCCGTCCTCGCCCAGTGAGACCAGGTGCTGGTAGAAGCGCAGGTGCGTCAGCCGCAGCAGCTCCCGCAGGTACAGCTGGGGGCGAGGCCGAGATGAGTTAGCCCCCCAGCCCCGAGCACGCCTGCCTGCCTGGCCCAGGAAGCCCACTCCCACCGAGGCCCTTCCTCGGTCCACCCCTCCCGCCCGCCAAAGCCTGTGTGCCATGCGTGAGGTCTCTACCTGCTACATGTCACTGCACCCACTTGTTTTGTTCTGTCGCTGGAAGTCTGACTCACACCTGTCTTTGTCAGTTTAGCCCAGATTTCAGACTGTTTTGGAGGCTGTGGCGTGGCCCAGGGCAAGGCAGAGCACAGCACCCTGATGTGGACCAGGAGGCTAGTGGCAGGAAGACCCCCAGGCCTCAGGCGCCATATGGGGCTGTTTCTGACGCCCCCTCCCTTCTGGGATGTCGAGCAGATCATCCATTGACAACGCCCCCTCCCCCACACCCACTCAACCACCTTCCGCTCTGATCACCAAGATCCATCATCTTCCAGAGCTGATTGAGGACAGAGAGGGGGCGTTTCTGAACCCCGAGAGGCTCAATTCCTGCACTTAAGGTCACCACCCAGTGACTTGGGACGAGATGGAAGCTGTTTCTGGCAACGTCCTGCTCTGGCTGCTGACTTCACCAGCATCGTTGTAAAATCAATCTCCGGCAGCTAACAAGTCACGGGGCCATGTGCTTCGGAGCCCATCAGGGGCGAATCGCATCAGAGCCCGTAATTGCCTCCGCAGGTACCGTGGAAACCTGACATCACAGGGCCGATGCAGAGAGCACAGAGTGGGCAGGCTCGGCTGAGATCCCAGCCAGATCCTGGGGTGGGGGCTTGGTGACTCACAGGCCCCTTCCCACACAAGCGACCCATTGTTCCTACTTGAGACAGCCGCTGGGATGGCACGTGAACTGATTTTGAGGACCCTTCCCGACTGGCCAGTCTTTCCACCCAGTGGCCCACAGCAGGGTCAAGTCCAGGCACGCAGCTGACCCCCTCCCTCCCTCACGGGTGCCCCCCACCCCCGCTCTGGTGCCCGGCACCTTCCAATCCCCACCTGCCTGCTCCTGGCTCCCCCTTGTCCAATCCCCTGCTGTGTTCTGCTCTACCATCCATAGTCTTCAACGGCTTCCTAATGGCAAGTTGACGGGACATGCTCCTTGGCCTGGCATTTGAGGCCCTCCATTCAGCTCGACCCTCATTGCATGTGGGCCACCAACCTGACCAGGGCACCCAGTGCCATTGCCCAGAGAGCTCTCTCAGCCAAGTCTCGGCAGGCCTGACAGTGTCCAGGGCCAGACCCCACGTGCCATTGGGTCGGCCTAGTCCAAGGAGACACTGGGACACCTGTCTTGGTTCCCACCTCTATCACCAGAGCTCTTTCTGTATCACTCCCTGGCACCCAGCATCCTCTCCTCACACTGTCAGCTTCCAGACCAAAAATCTCTTGCAGACTGGGGACCTGAGACCATCTCCCAGTGCCAGCAGCACCCAGCAGGTGCTTGGAGTGCACAGATGCCACGTAAGGAAAGAGTGCGCACTCCTGGCCCTGCCTTACCCAGCTCTGCCTCCTCGCTCCCAAGTCTCAGTGCTGCCTGGTCTGTGTAGGTTAGGGGAGGCCATGAAGGGAGGGGTGCCGGCTGCGCACAGCAAGCCTGCTGCCCTGGAGGTACGGTTGTGACAACTACCCAGCGGGCCTCGAGGTGGTTTCAGGAGCCCCTCCCATCCCCACCCCCAGAACCCTGGCTATGTTGGACCCCTGCAAGGGGCCCAGATGCACCTGAGGAACCATTTTACACAGCACAGGGTCAGGTGTGATAGGGACCCCCCCCCCTTCTTTGTCTCCCAGGGAGCCTGGGTTGGGATGCCACATGCAGGGAGGTGGGAAGCCACAAGGGGAAGGCCCTGCACAGTCTAGACTCTGGACCTGCAGGAGTGTGAGGTGGGGATGGCAACATGTGTCCTGGGACCTGGGAACAGCATGCGTCCCTCCTGGGGGAGCTGGCCCTACCCCAGAGGCCCAGGGCCAAGCCCCCCACAGTCCACTGGCAAGGCTGACCCTGGCCTTTCTGCTGCTTGCTGACCCACAGCCCCCAAGCCATACACAACTGAGAGCCTCACCAGCTGTTTCTCCATGTCCTCATCCCGAGGAGAGCTGACAAAGATCGTGTTCTGCATCAAACCCACAAAGCACCAGAAGGTGTCTGACTCGTCCAGGACCTCGGCCAGGATGGGTGCCACCAGGTCCGACATGCCCTGGGAGTAGCCGATGGCTGGGTTGTACACCGCATAGTTCAGCAGGATCCTCCTGGAGACGCAGTGCAGAGAGCAGGGAGGTCAGTGGAGGACGGCCACAACATAGCAGTGTGTTGTTGTGCAGGCCAGTAGAACCCCAGGCTGGAGACCCTGGGCTGTCCGGGCCCCCATCTTTCACCATGATCTCAGAGGAAGGAGGGCAGCTCTGGGACCGTCTCCAGAGCCTGGGGAAAGGTAATGGCCTGCAATTAGGCACTCACCAGCCCAGCCCCTCGAGAGCAGGGCAAGGAGGAATGTGGGTCTGATTTTCTTAATTGTCAACTGCCTGTGACAAAGGGTGGGCTGGCCAGGAACGTTTTCATGGGCTGCTAATTTTGTGCAATTATTTGCCAGGAGGTAGCAGCACGTCAAAGATGCCAGCCTCAGCCCTGTGTGGCTTTATCATCCAGAAGACCACCCAATGGGAGACAGAGACACTCAGGGGGAGGCTGGCCCACAGCTGGTGTGAGACAAGCAAGGTTAGGCTTAGTGGATGCCCAGCGGGTGGGGCCTACAGGCCTTCCCTGGGCCTCTAGGACAATAAAAGACCCACTGACATTGCCTAAAATAGCTAACAACCCTCTGATTCTGGGGCATTGAACCTGGAGGAAAGACCCCTGACCCCTGCAGAAGCTGCTGCTTTTCCACTTCCCAGAGGGTCAACTGAGGCCTGAGGGGTGAGGTGGCAGGTGGGAGTGAAACGGAGGGGGGAGGAAACATGCTGGCCGGGAATGTGGTACCTCATGCTCTCCACATTGGGATTGCCTTCTCCTCTGAAGAACTGGTTGCTTCGATCTGTCCGTACCACATCCTTGTCCACGGTGAACTGCACGTTCCGCCAGAACGCTCTGTGCTCTTCAGGGGTCATGGAGAGCCTGGCATGGAGCAGAGCGCCCGCTGGGGGGTCAGCAAGCGGCACAAACGCTCCCGGCTGGCGCGGGCGTCCCGCCCAACCCCGCCCAACCCTGCTCCCAGATGGGAACTGGGGCCGCTGGCAAACCCTCCGGCTCCCACTGACCTGGGGTGGGGGTGGTGCACAAGGCTTTCCAAACATTAACTCGGCCTCACGGGTCCCAAACAGAGAGCTGACCGTAGCCCCGGGATCAGCGAGGCCCAAACGGACCTCAGCAGTCCCAGTGCCCCCCAAACACCCCCGCCACCCCGGGGTTCTGCGGAAGGATGTCAGCCCCTCGTTAAGTACGTTGAAAAAGTATTCTAAAATCTTGACATGCGAGCTAAAGAGAGCCAGTCCCAGGGCCCGCCGCTGGGGTAATAACTGCACTTATCCAGCCCCATCGCTCACGGTCCTGGGGGACCCATTTTTCAAGGAAACTATGGGTCACGGAACATATTATCAATGCTGAATTGCACCTCAAATTGCCTTTCCAAATGGCATTTCCCTCCGCGGCGCTGGGGTGGGTTTCCCTCCGCGGCGCTGGGGTGGGTTTCCCTCCGCGGCGCTGGGGTGGGTTTCCCTCCGCGGCGCTGGGGTAGGTTTCGTTTCCCTCCGCGGTTCGAGGGGGCCCCGGCCGGTCGCCGCGGTCACCTTTTCTGCTGGATCTCGGCGTATTCCTTTCTCTTCTGCAGCCGCAGCACCTCCCTTTCCTCCGACGTCGACTCGTGGCTGTAATAACGCAGCAGGAAGGGCCAGACCTCCCCCCGGATTGACACATCAATGCCGCCGAAGAAAATGGCCTGGAGGAAGCGGCAAAAGTTGGGGAGGGGCCAAAGCAGGGCCGCTCAAAGGACCCCCAAATCCCAGGAGATCTGTGTTTTGGTGGCTTTGCTGCGCCTTCTTGACAACTGATGCCTTGATTCAGATCGCTGCAATTTGCACATGTTTGGAAGGGGAAAGTGCCGGCCCCCCATTCCCATACAGGACACAAACCAGGCTCATTTCAATGTCAATGCCCCCCCTGGTGCGGCACTCAGATTAACCTGTCGTTCTCACGTCAGGGCCTAATCCCGGTTTTGGAATCGCGGCGCGGGCTGCGAGCTCTGCTATACAGGCTGACGCGGGGTCCTCCAAACCCGCTCCGGAGGTTGCTTTTTCATCGCAGCGGCTTTGATTGCTCTATCGGGCGCGTTCACACAGCCAGCTCTGGCACCAGCGGACGCACCCCCCGGAGGCGGCCTGTGGGCATGGCCCCGACCCCTGGTCCTGAATCGGGCCCCGCGGGCATACCGGGCCTCACCTTGCGGAGCTTGTACTCCTCCTCCACCTGGCCCAGCGCGTTCAGGTGGCGGAGCCAGGCCGCGACATCCAACCGTCGGTACATGCTTTCCTCGGGGTGCGTCTCGGAAGACGGCAGTTTGGGACGCCGAATGGAGAACTGCATGCACGTCTTTTCGTCGGCGACCTGCTGGACGGGAGGACAGTTGGGGATCAGTGTCTCAGCCGTTTCGCTTTCGAAGCCAGCCGCGCTCTTCGCGGGATGTGAGCCTTCCTCGCTCTCTTCCGAAAGGAGGAGGACGCCTCTTCCCTGCATACAAACCCCTAAATGGCAAGTGTAATTAGACACAATTCAAATGAAAATACCGTCCTCTTACCATGGTCCCCCCTCGCGCTCCCGGCTCCCGGCCCACTCCCATCGACCGCCGCCCCCCACTGTCCCTCCAGCCCCGCCGCAAAGATGGAATTAATGCCTCGGACGGCCAACTTCCCTCTGCCGGGAGGGCCTGCAATAAATTACATGTGATTGGCCACATACAAAGGGATGGCTGTTCTGCGAGCGGGGAGCCCGCCTGTCAGGTTGTCTCCACGGGCAGTCACGGATCCAGGGCAAAACTGCAGCTGACATTTAATTCAAAAATCAAAGGTTGTTCAATGTAGGGGGAAAAAAAAGCCATGCTACTGTAATAAGGGAAGCCAGCAGGAGGCTCTGTGGGAAGGAAGGGAATTTTAAAGTCAGCCCGTTTCTAATAAGCACATACAGTATCTTAACCAGATAATTAAAGAGCTCTTATTACATTTGTATGTAGATTGAGCAAAATATGGCAGGAAGCCTTGTCAAAACATGATTTTTCAAGTGCGGAGTACTGCCTTTACAAGAAGCCTGGGCACATGTTTCAAATCCCAAATTGCTGCTCTGTAGGCCCCCAGCAACCACGGGTCACACCGGAGAGGCCTGGGTCTCCGGGGGAGAGAACCAATGTCCTGGGCCCCCGTTGGAGGGGAGGGGGGAGTGGGAGGGGGGGGTGTCTCAGCAGCCAGGTGCCTCCAGGGGTGGTGCAGGGCCTCCCTGGGGGCAGTCCCCAACCCTCCTCCGGGCTACCTGGTCTTTGAGGTGCGTCTCTGCGCAGTATTTCCATTGCTGAAGCACGTCGGGCAGCTTGTCCAGGCCACCGTGGTGGAAGTGGAACACCTTGTACTGGCTTTCCCGGCTGGCGACGACCAGCTGGCCGCTGGTGCAGGCCTCATCGCTGAGTGGCCATCGGAGGGTGGAAGAGAACAGACCCATGAATATGTAAACATGGGTTTTTATTTCCAAGTATAATCAGAGGCCCCTATTGCCAACCTCAGAGGCAGGAAACAGGAAGTCTCCGTGGAGTTTGGCTGCTGGCGGCAAGGGGACAGAATTATGCCCCAACAGAAGCCATCACCCCTTTGCTGAAGAAGGCAAAGCAGCTCCCTTCCTGGGAGACCCCAGGTTGTATTGTCCTCACTCCCGGGAGACCTGCCAGAGCAGCCTTCTGTCCCCACCCTTGCCTGCCAGGTCATATCCTCCCTTCTCTCTGGGGGTCCTGGGGGTGGATGCCCTGACGGGGAATCAGGTTTTGAACCCAGATGGGGCAGCGCTAAGGGATGCCCCTCCAGCAGCCTTCCCCATCCGTCATGGAAGGCACTCTGGGAGAATCCTCCGGGGAAATTCACAACACATGCCTCAGGGCCATCACCCAAACTTGGCTTCCCTTCCATGAAAGGCGGGATGTGGCTCTGGGTCTGGGAACTCCCACAGAGACATGCCTGCTTCTTCTAAGCACCAGTCTTGGTTGGTGCTTTCCTGCGGCTGGGCCACCCTGCCTTTCAGGAAGAGAGACATGAGGTGGCCGTTAGGCAGGGAACTAAAAGGGATGGCTCCCCATACTGAAGGAAAGCGTGCCTCCCTCTAGAAAGCCATGGCCTCTTCCGAGCTGGGCCTCTGGGTGGGTGACCGGGGGCAGCCTGCAGCAACTGCTCTCTGTGTAGCCCTGGTTCGTTGTCTTTCCCCAAACCAGAGCTCCAAGCAACAGCTGCTTACCATCACCCTGAAAGCAGAGGAAAGAGTTTGGGAGCTACCCAGACCCAGCTCCTGTGGGGCAGCCATAGGGGGCACTGCTGACGAGACTAGTGATGTTGGGAAGCAGATGTTTGGGGATGCAGGGGTGCTGGACCCAAGCATGGCCCCCCGGGACACGGCACACAGGCAGCTTCCAGGACATGGCCAAGAGGGCCTCACCTAAAGAAGAGGCGGAGGGAGCGCATGTGACCCAAGTCCACTCGGAACACACCGCAGATCTGCTCCAAGGCGCAGGCCCGCTGCGGCTCGTCCCAGCGCGGGGGCTGCAGGAGGCCACTGCTGTCCGGGAACTGCAGGTGGGCGTCCACGCTGGAGGGGGAGCTGGTGGAGCAAGTCATGTTAGGGCCACACGTTTCTCTGTTGTGCAGCCATGGGGGAAGGGCAGGGAGGGCTGGGGAAACCATTTCAACGTGCATGCACACTCAGAGATATAGCTGAACACGCTGGGCACATAGAGGCTGTCCACGGACACCCATGAATGAACGAACGAATGAATCCTATCATAGGTCTTGCCCAATTACACTTTAATGTGGATGGGAAAGCATTTTTGTGATCAAATTTTGTTCCACCTCAACAGAGATATTAGGTTGTCATAATGGCAGATGAGGTCCTACTGACTGGGTTTGAGCCCTTGCTATGGGACCTTGGGCAAGTTACCAAGCCTCTCTGAGCCTTTGTTTCCTCTTTTGCACAGTGAAGATAATAACATGGCTTCGTGTAGAATGAACAGTGCTCAGTGCTGGGCACCCTGGTTTTCAGGGCTTACTGAAAGAAGCTGTTTTGTGACCATTTTAGACAGTGTGGGGCTTCCTTTTGGGTTCAGTATTTTCCTGAAAAAATAGTGGTTCCATAAGGAAGCATTTGGGTTATAATACTGTTAATACTAATAGTAAACACTTAGCTCTGTGTTAACCACTTTTCATGTGCTTTTTATCACATATAAGCTTCACAATAAATCCTAGGAAATGGGTGATTATTACCACCATTGTACAAAACAGGAATTGAGGCTCAGAAAGGTTAAGTAACTTGTCTAAGGTCACACAGCTAGCAGGTGGTAGAGCTGGAATTTGAACCCAAGCTTTGTGGCCCACACCTTCACCAGTGTATTTAACTGCTTCTAAGTTCAAAGTTCAGCAATACAACCCCATTATCTTATTCTACTTCTTTAAAAAATTAATAATTTTGTTTGGCTCCTCGGTTGCCAAATATTTTATTACACGGATTCAGCTACACCACAGGTTAAATGCCGTCTCTTGAGATTTAATAGTAACATCTAGCAGATGACTGCTAAAATATCGCCAGAGTAAAGGCAAGCATCAGTTCTGGATCCCAACCCCGATATCCCACAGAGGTAAGACTGCAATCACTTTATCCCACTTTCCTGTTTCAGCCGAGAACATAAAAGTGTCGGAGGCAATGAATCCTGAGGCACCTCTTCCTCTGATGGGCACCAGGTCTCCAAATGAAGCTACTCTGGATTGTTCAAGCACAATCCCTCTAACTCGGAACTTCCTCAAAGAGGAAGACTGGCCTTTGTAGAAACTTCGCTGCTTCTAGAACAATACTGGGCCTGGTGTGCAGTTCTTCCCCACCTGCCTAAGGAAGTGGGCTGAGCCAGGTCCTCCCATTTCTGAGGGGCACCTGTGCTCTCCCAGGAAACAGACTCAGGTAAAGATAGACAGCCGGATGGGAGGGTAGGTAGACAAGCTGAAGCACGCAGCCACACGGCAAACTCGGACCCAAAAAGGCTGAGGGATTCCCTGTCCTCCCGAGGGGAGCCTGAGTGGCTGCACTATGCAATGACTGTCTGCAAAACAAGGCAGCCGCAGGTCTGAAGACAGCCCCCCACCATGCCGCTTCACACAGCATTTCATAATCTGCGTATTGAACAATGAGGCCGCAGTGGCCGGAGAGCATGTGCTTGGCGTGCTTCCCCGGCGGGGCCGGCCCATCCGGGCTCACCTCCAAGCCCAGCCAGAGAGGGCCCACCAAAGGGTGGCATTATTTCCAGCCCCTCTCCCCCAGTTCTCCCCACCGCCACTCCACACGTACATAGCACGATCCTCCAAAACCTGCATGCCCTTCTCAACATGCTACGTCCTGCTCACCCCACAGGGCAGGCCAAGGTTTGCAGAAACCAGATCCAGGATGGACACTTGCTCTCGCAGAGTCCTGGCCAAAGCCACTGCTCCTCTGCTGTGGTGGAAGGACTGGGGTCCTGAGGGGAAGCAGCCCAGGAGAGAGGCCCCCCAACACCTTCCTGCAGCAACTTGCCCCCAGGCAGAAGTCTGCCTAAACCCTTTTACAACTCCTGAGGGGGAAATTATTTGCATTAATTAATTGATTGATGAATTAATTCAAGACATTATGTTGGGACCTACAGCTGGGGTTCCACGGTTCAAACTGGAGCAAAGTTGATAGGAGACTTCGTTCTCTTTTATTTAGGGCCTGTCATAGCAGATGACTGTACAGTCATCTAGGTCACCTAGGGCCACATCTGTTTCTGCCTGAAGACCCATTGCCATGGGGTTGAGGGCCGTATCTCGTTTGCTCTTCTGCATCCCCAGCTCTCAGCACAAGCCTGGCACAGAACACAGAGATTTTACACCCATGCCTGGGATGAAAGTGTTAAATGTCTGGGAATTTTGAAGTCATAGAAAAACATGGAAATAAAATCTTGGGAAAATTGAAATATGTACAATTTTTATTTTTTATCTTTTTACACATGCAGAGCAATTTGGTTTTAAGAATACTCATGTGTGGCATATAATTTGGCTTGTTCGTAAAATTATTGTGTGGTACATTAAAATTATAAGGATGGTTTATCTAAGGCAATAACTCCCAATATGCTATAAGTTAAAAATGTTTTATAGGTAGAGGGAGAAGATGCTAAACTCTAAGAAATATAGCATTTCTTTCTGAAGATCACCAAAATGCAAAACAGAAATGAATAAGAAAAGCCAGCTCTGCCGCAGCAAAACATAGCAAGCGTGTTCTTTGTCAATCTGGCAACTCCTGCAATGTCAGGCACAGAGTTGGAGATTAAATATGGCCCCAAATTCCTAGAGTGGTGTTTGTTTCCCTACCCCTGAATCTGGGCTGGCCTTTCGAGTGGCTTTGGCCAACAGGATGTGGTATGAGTGACATTCTATGAGCTCCAGAGCCTGGCCTCAAGAACCTTCTGTATTCTCACTCTTGGTATACTCCTGCCACCATGTAAGGAAGCCCAGGCACAAGTGATGAGAGATCACAAGGAGAGAGAGACTCAGCTGACAGCGTCAGAGTCCCCGAACCTCATGGACAGAGACCATTTCAGACCCTCCACCCGGTTGAGCTCCCAGCTGCCGACAGCTGCCTGAGGAAGCCCCAGAGCACCCAACAGAACAGGCTGACTTGGCCCAGCCCAATGGGAAGACCTGTGAGCAAACTGAAGATGGTGGTTTTAAGTTCTGGAGTCCTTTGTTACGGGGCTATAGGTAACTGATAGATACGAGAAGTGTCTGTTTTCAGAAAAAGCTTGAGCAGGAAGGAAGAAACCTCCAAAATTATTATTTTTGGTTTTTTGGGGTTTTTTTGGTCATGACGAGGAGCATGCAGGATCTTAGTTCCCCGACCAGGGATTTAACCTGTGCGCCCTGCAGTGGAAGCGCGGAGTCCTAACCACTGGACTGCCAGGGAATTCCCTTCCTCCAAAATTACTGAATTGTGGTTCTCAAGGTCAAAGAGACATTGCGGCCAGACTCTAACATTTTTAAAAATCCAAACTTCTAAGTTAGCTCTTGCTTTTCTTCCTTCTGAGCCTTTTGATTCAGTTGAACAGTAAGTCGATGGAACCCCAGCTGTAGGTCCCAAGTATAGTGTCTTGAATTAATTAGTCAGTCAATTAATTAATGCAAATAATTTCCCCCTCAGGAGTTGTAAAAGGGTTTAAGCAGACTTTTGCCTGGAGGCAAGTTGCTGCAGGAAGGTGTTGAGGGGCCCTCTCTCTGGGGCTCCCTCACCTCAGGGCCCCAGTCCTTCCACCACAGCAGAGGAGCAGGAGCCTTTACCCTGGACTCTGTCGGAGCAAGCGTCCATCCTGGATCTGGTTTCTGCAAACCTTGGCCTGCCCCGTGGGGCGAGCAGGACACAGCGTGGTGGGAAGGGTGTGCAGGTTTCGGAAATTGTGCTGTGTGCATGTGGAGTGACGGTGGGGAGGACTCTGGGGGAGGAGGGCTGGAAATAATGCCACCCTTTGGTGGCCCCTCATAACTGCCAGAACTTGGAAGCAACCAAGATGTCCTTTGGTAGGTAAATGGATAAACAAACTTCAGTACATCCAGGCAATGGAATATTATTCAGCGATAAAAAGCAATGAGCTATCAAGCCATTATGTCCATATGCATTACTAAGTGAAAGAAGCCAATCTGAAAAGGCAGAGTTGGAAACTTACTATATGGTTCCAACTCTATGACATTCTGGAAAAGGCAAAACTATGTAGATAGTAAAAGGATCACTATCCTTTTGTCAGAGATCCTGGTTGTCAGAGACTGGGGGGAGTGGGAAGCAGTAAATAGGTGGAGCACAGGAAAGTTTTAGGGCAATGAAACTACTCTGTATGACATTATAGTGGTGTAGTGGTGGCTACATGTCATTATATTACATTTCTTAAAACCCATGCAATGTACAAGAGTGAATCGTAACGTAAACTATGGACTTTGGGGGATAATGATGTGTCACTGTAGGTTCATCCAATGTAACAAATGTAACAAATGTACCACTCTGGTGGGGATGTTGGTAACGGGGAGGCTTTGCATGTGTAGGGGCAGGGGTATATGGGAAATCTCTGTACTTTCCCCTCAATTTTGTTATGAACCTAAAACTGCTCTAAAAAATAAAGTCTATTAAAATGAAAAGCCAAAAAACAAACTGGGACATATATATGACAAGGATTAATATCTTTAATACAGAAAAAAGTATGTAAACTTAAAAAAATGAATGCCCAACAGAAAAAATGGCAAAGGTACAAGAAAAAACAAATCACTAGAGAATAAATACAACTAGCCAATAAAATTTTCGTGTCCAGAGTAATGAAATAAATGCAGATGGAAACAAGATACAATTTGAGGGGAGGTCTATGAAATTGGCATAATTAAAAAGTTATGAAATATAGTGTAAGTAAGGGTTTGGGGAAACACTCTTGCACAGCTGGGGGCACTGTATGCTGTTCAGATTTCTCTCAATGGCATTTAGGAAATCGGATGCAAAAGGCTTAAAAATGTTTATGTATTTTGACCCTTTACTTTCATTTCCAGATATTGATCCTAAGAAAACAGCCAGAG